TGCAATAAATTCCAAATTCCTTAGTTTGCCAAGTACTCTATTCTCCAGTTTCCCCATGCTGGCCTTTACTGATCAACTCAACCTCATCTCTTCTATGCCCACACTCATATTTAATATATCAAATGGTTTCTGGTAACCCTAACTCACTCTCATTCCATAGCTTGTCTAGTTCCACTGCCAAGAACACCCTTCTCTTTCATTTATTTCTTACATTTATGTCTCCAGCTTTGCTTTAGACTTTGTATCTTCTAGAAAGTCACTGACTCCAACCTGTAGGCTAGGATTAATGTGCTTTACCACCATGAGCACCTATAATTCTGAGTATATCTCTGTTGAGGCATTTTGTCAAGAGATTATCACCCCATCTTTAAGAATACTCTAAGTTCCCAGTGCTAAAGTCTGTCCTTATTTCATCTCGCTGTGTCCTAGGGTCTACTACAATTCATGACCCATGGAAAGTACTCACACATCTTTTCAAGTTGAAGTTCTGAAATGGTCTGCCCTTGGTCCTGGTCTCTGTTTACATGTTTAGTGACTCACTCAGTTTGGGGCTTTGCTATTTCTCTGTATGCCAATGATTCTCCATGTTTTCTGTTGAACTCAGGCTTCTTTTCCAAGTTCCAAACTCATATAGCCAACTCTTCCCATCATGATTAAAATATCTAAGACATTGAAAACTCAGTTCAAATTGAACTCCTGATTGCTGAAAGCAAGGGGCTTCTTATATCTGTTGGGTGGTAATGCCATATTTCACTGCTTGAAGTAACAGACTTTCAGTTATCCTTGGGTCCTCTCTTTCACTCATTTGCTATGTGTTAGAAACTCTCATTGGTTCTATCTTTAAAATATATTCAGAATCCAATCATTTCTTGCCAAATTCCTTGCTATATCTGTCTTGAGTCATCACTGTCTCTACCTGAGTTACAGCAGGGATTTCATCACTGGCCTCCCTAATTTGCTTTTGCCTCCCCATTTCCTGTTGTGAACACACGCACTAGAATGAATCTTTTAACAAAATGTAGGCTATTGACATTTGTATGCTCAAAACTGAAGCATCTTTCCATTTCACTCATGGCAGAAGTCAAAGTCCTGATAATGACTCGGAGCCCATGGCAGCATCAGGTCTCTCTTTAGTTATTCAATCTAATCTCCTATGACTTTTTTTTTTTTAACCTCATGCTTAGTGTACTCCTGCCTCTTTAATCTTTTTGACCCTGATTGTACTTGCCACGCATATTATCTTTGTCTTGAAGTCTCATCCTCCAAATAGCTTTGCCATGTCTATCTTCAAATATCATCTCATTAAAAAGGCTACACTTCTACCTTATCTAATATTAGAATCTCCCTGACTTTGTGTCCTCTACAAACACCATTTTCCATCCTTGATCTGCTATTTCTTTTTTCATGGTATTTTCTGTGGCAGACTTTATTGTCCAAAGATTGTACTTTCCAATATCTTATGTTCTATATCCTCTTCTGGAATCTGGCAACTGGCTCACCTTATCAAGAGATGGAGTCTAATTCCTCTGCCCTGTAACAGAGGCAGTTTTTACATGCTTGCTTATATAGAACAGAATGTGGTTGAATGATGCAGTGTGATATTTAAGTCTAGGTTTCAAAAGTATTACACTTTTCATCTTCTTAGCTTGGAGGCTCATCCTTGGAGCTCTCAGCGACCATGTAAAAACTTCAACCATTCACAATACTACCAGCCTTCCTGAAGAGGCAATGTGCAGGTATTCCTTTAGGTGTTTCCCACTGACACCTCAGTTGACAGCCTGCGTCAATCATTAGACATGATAACAAAGACACTTTCAGATGATTTCAGCCTCCAGGTTTGGAGTTTTCCCCAATCAAGGGTCTAGAACCATGGTGAAAGGCAGGGTGTTTCTCTGATACCCTGTCCAAATTTTTAACCCATAGCCTTAATCACTGCAATGAATCAATTGTTTTATGTTGTTTAGAATCAGGGTGGTTTTTAACACAGTAAACAATATTTTTGTCTGTTTCTACATTATTTAATATATTTATCTTCATGCCTGTGCTCATTTCCTATTTCCCTTGCTGGCATATGAGCTCCTTGAGGGCATGAATCTTCCCTGTGTTCACTGTCACATCTCAGATACTTAGAATAGTCCCTTGCAATAGTAAATAGTAAATATTTACTGAAAAAGTTGTGGTTGTGCAATTGAATTGAATCTTAGTACACATAGCTTGCAAAAGCTGAGAGGTCTTGTAGGTGTCAACTTGTCAAACCCACTCATTTGTACAGAAAAAACAGGGCAGGATAGAGAAGTGACAGGCACCAGACAGCACACAGCAGGCTGGCATGAGTACAGAACTAGAGATTTAAGAGTCTAACGTCTATCATAGGACTCAGTCTTCAAGGAGATCTGACTAACAACACTCAAGACAAAGACTTTAGATATCATGGGAGCCTTTATGATCAAAGCCAAATCCAGCCATATTCTAAGAAATTGTATTAGTGCATTATGGAATTAGCACATTTTCAGTAAGTAATGTTTTTCAATTAACCCCCGGTTAATCAGAAATTGCTACTAACTAGATGCTAAGCATTCCAGCTAGCTGATTAATATAATTTGAACTAATTAAAGGCAAGGCTAGCCTCATTAAAGATATTTCTGGTTGAGGCTCAAATGATGGAATAACATGTACTGTTCACGTAATTCTAATAGAAGGATGTTTCATGCTAGAAAGTTTGGAAGATGCAAATAGGTATACAAAATAAATTTTAAAGTGCAGCTCATCATACATGGGTGAGTGCTTTTAAAGAGATACTCTGGAAGACAATGCCTCAAAGTATTCATGTGCATCTTTTTTTGTTCTGAACTTTTAGACTGCAGGTTCTTAGAACAAGTGTTTCTTAGCCTTTGGCTACTTGTCCCCTTTCTGTTGATCCATGTGCCTCAATTAATTTGACCAATTATTATGACTAATGGATTGCCAAGCCATCATCATATTGAGTATGGATTTACAAACAACACACCCACTCCTAATATTTGTTCATCAAGTAGATCTACATATACCCTGATAGGCATGCATAAGCTTATCCTACTCCCCTGGGCTGGGTTCACTCATCCTTGGAAATAACATACAGGGATATGAGGTGATGAAATAATCTCCTTCAACTCTTATTCAAATAATTTTCCAAAATTTGTAGACTGAGTAAATTAAAAATGTTGTTTTACTCAGACTATAATTGAAATTAACTGGAGATTCTCCCAAACTGGCAATTACTCACATCTATTGAATAAGTGTTTCTGTCCTCATAAATATGCCAAACCTGCCCCTTGCCACTATGTTTTATACTGTCATAAAGTTTTAGGACCAGACAGGTCCTTAGAGATCACCTTATCCAACCCTTTATTCAAATAATAAAAAGTTTTAAAACCCAGATAGTGTAATGATATGCTTAGATGGCAGAGTTTACTATACTGGAATCTATCTGTCTGAACCCCCAAATTTAATACAATTTCACAACCTCGCATGGCTTCAGAAGTGCTGCTTTGTAAGCCATTTCTCAGAATGCAGTCTGAGGGATAAACTTAGTCTGCATTGTCGAGAATTCTAAGGGTGTGGAGTCTGAACCTTTGTGTTTGCACCGCACACAGGGAAACTGAAGTGAACATATCTGGGGCGCATTCTGCATGAGAAAGGAAGGAGGGAAGGAAGATAACGCAGAGCTTGGTGCAGAGAAGATGCTGAAGACATATTCTTTAGTAGAAGAAAGAAAGTGAGGGGGAAGTAAAAATAGAGAGAGAAATGCTTGTTTTCAGGGCTGGCTGAAGTTGGATTCCACCTGCACTAGGAGACTGGCAGGATTCCTTTGGGAGAATGAGTTGCTCTTTGGTTTAGGAAAACATCTTAATGAGTTTTTCTTCTATTTTATTGTACTTTTTGTTTGTAAAAGGTGAGGTCTAATGGGCAAGGTTTGAAACAAAAGCAGTGAGGCAAAGAAAGCTAAATTGTTCTGTATAACAAAGAGAAACATGGGAGTCCTTTCCTTGGATGCTGGGAGGCTGATGGTTGAAAGGACTTAAAAGTGCTTCCAACAGGGGAGTGGCTATGAAGGACACACCAGAAACCGTGAAGGACACACCAGTGATTTGGAATGGATAAGGAACTTAGAGAATAATAGTGTCTTATTAGGACATTTTCTTTGCACGGTTCTATGGGCCATCTCTGTTATTTCCCAAGCTGAAGTAACAACCACAACTGGCATGAAAATACTTTTCAGAAGGAATAAAAAAGATGTCCAGTGTCAACAATAGGGAGGAAGCCCACAGGGAGGGGGCACAGCAGTTGCAGATATGAAGCGTTGCCTTGGTGTGCAGTGGTGAGAGAAGTACAGAGGCACGAGTATGGGGCAAGAGGTCAGGAGCAGGGAGGCACGCCAGCAATCACAGGAGGAGATACCAGCTGGCCTATCTGCCCCAGGTGGGAAGGAGGCTGGGGTCAGTTTCACACTGCAAAAAGGAGTGATTCTAAAGCACCGAAATATAGGAGATAAGTGGGCTATGAGAAGAGGAGAGAGGAAAAAGAAAACAGGTGGGGGAATGTATAAAAATCTTTTAGGTTGGGCATAGTGGCATATCCTTGTAATCCCGGTACTCTGCGAGGCTCAGATAGGAGGACTACAAATTAGAACCCAGCCTAGGTGACTCAGTGAGCCCCTGTGTCAAAATTTGAAAAAGGACTGAGGATGTAGCTCAGTGCAAAGGCCTTGTGTCCAATCAGGAGTACAGTATGGTGCTTCTCAAATTTAATGTGTATACAATTCACTAAAATCTAAATTCTGTCTTAGTGGATTTTGTGGGGTCCATTTTTGAGGCTGCACACATACCTGTGGGAGTGTACACAGGGGATAATGTTGCTGCTTCTGTTCCAGAATCATACTTTGAGTAGCAAGGGTTTAGCACCCAAATAATCCTGTGAGCGATTGGGAAGGCTCCCCCCGCCCCCTCTGGCTGGTATCTTACCTCATATTCCTCCTTGAACCCGTATCCCTGGCCTCTCTTCATCTGGGTGATGTGCTGCAACAGGTCGGCCACCCGGATGGCAGGTTGGAACTGGTCCCGGGGGTAGCTCATCTCCACAGGGTCACAGGTCCGGTAGGGATGAGTCTGGATTGTGAGAGTGGGCTGCGACAGCTCCCCACGACTGCCATCTGCTTCAAAGAGAAGGAGGTAAAGCAGACCATCACCTTGGGAGCTTTGTCCTTTGTCCTCCTTTCCTACCCTAGAGTGGCTCCAGGAAGGCAGAAAGAACTAACTTGGCACCTGACTGATCAAGAAATTGCAGAAAGTCTGGAGTCTGCTTCCCCGGTGTGGCTGTAGGAGTAGATTTAAATGTTTAAACAAGCTGAAAGTCCAATGAACACAGTAACACTTGACTCATTTCCCTTTCTCTCAAGAGTTTATATTGGTAGAGTGAAGACACTTCTAGGTTGGGTGTTATCCCTTGCTTGTCTTTAGTTGTTCCTCGACACTGTTGGGATTACCAGCCAATACTAGACACAGAAACCAAATAGGCTAAATATTTATGGCACCATTGTATTTACAAAAGAGGTTTTCAGAAACAGTCTCTGATACCTACCTGTAGGCTAGGAGGGCTTCAGACACTTGGAGATCAGAGCTATGCTTCTGGACCATTTATCTGTGGGCTGAAAACCTGATATTGCCACTGCTGTGATTTCCTTAGCTTGCATAGTGGTAAGAACTAGGGTAAGTCTTGAACCCCCAGAAGCTAGCAGAGACCTGACTTGTCAGAATATTTGCTCTAGCAGTGTGCTCTGCAGCAGTGACCAACTTCTATCATCTAATTTCACACTGTTGACTCAGCAGTGTCAGTAAAGAAGCATGAACTTCCTTCAGTCCTGCAGTGACTTCTCATGCTTAGCCCAATGCCTCATCTTTTCATTAAATCTGTCCTTGATACAAGAACTATGCTTTCTCCAATAAGGATTTTTATACCCAAATATTTGTTTGTACTATCTGTTGGTTCAGTTAAGCAAAACTGATGCCTTCTCAGACTAGGTATTAATTCCTCTGTTCCTTTGGGCTTATAAAACTGATTTCTTGCCCTACTGCCTTGTTATGGTTTAAATCTAAAATGTCCCCCCAAAATTTCATGTGTCCAGAGGTGGAGCTTTCAGATGGTGATTGGATGACTAGGGCTTTAACATTATTAATGGATCAATCCATTGATGATTTCATAGCTAAATGGGCTACTAACAGGTACAATCTTGTTGGCAGAGGTGGGTGACTGGAGGCAGGCCTTTGGAAGGTATATATCTCATTCTTGGTCTCTTATTCTCCCTTTGTTTCTGGCCACTATGAAAAGAGCAGCTTTCCTCCACCATTCCCTTCTGCCATGATGTTTCTGCTTTGGAGCCGGCTGACCGTGGACTGAAGCTTCCAAAATTATGAGCTAAAGTGAATGTTTCCTCTTTTAAACTGTGCACATCAGATATTTTGTCTGAGTGATGTAAATCTGATTCATAAACATGCCCCTGCCACACATCTATGATTAGCCTTCAGGACTTATTCCTCTTCTGCACAACTACCTAGGACCGTCTACCTTCCCCACCTGCTCTTAAGGGCATGGACAGTCTCTTCCCTGGACCATCTCATCTGTGGCATGCATGAGATGAGAACTGCCAGTTGTGGCTGAGGATGCGTCTCACCCAGATGCCTCCAGATACCTGTGGGGCACCAATGCAGACATCCACAAGGCTGGTGTCACACTCCTTCCCTGGGAAGCTTACCATACATTCCTGATTTTCTGCAACTTGCCTTTTCTAAAACCATGTTCCCTTCAGTTGTTTGGCTCTCGTGTCACAATAGTCCATCAGACATAGACACTGTATGTGAAAGCACACAACTCTTCTATAACAGCACCAGCAGGCAGTTCTTGGTAAGAAGAAGGTAGTGAAAGGGAATGTCTATCCTGTGTGCTTTCCAGGATGGTCAGCTTGTCCAAGCTTTCCTGACACTTTTCCAGCATACCACATCTGAAAGCTCTGACAGCTCAGAGTCCTGAGGAAATAAGAATGGCTGGTTACTCTTATGCTTTTGTCTTTGTCCATGTTTGGGGAGGGAGCCACATTTCGCATTTTTCTAGTCCTCTGCCTGCCTTCATGTATTAGCTCCCCCAAGGGTGCAGGAGTTACTAATTTAATTGGTCTGAACTTAGGACATTACTTGGGTCATACCTAACTAGTAGGTGGGAATAGAGTGTACACAGTGTCATTAGTAAAACTTCCTGATTTAATGTGGCCAGTAAATATAACCAAGGCATAGCTTGTCCTTTGGGATCAGACTAATCTCCCATGGATTGCCAAAAAAAAAAAAAAAAAAGATCTTACAGATACAGATTTATACAAGAAAGAAGGGCCAAAATTAGATGTTAGCAAAACCTTCCTCTAGCACATAAAAAAAATATATTGCTTACTTTTTCTCCTGGAATTTTAGATAAAAGGTAGATACAGCTTACTAGCATTGTTTAAATCTGATGCTTGGCAAATGTGGAGGCTGCTTCCCTTCTCCTTCACACCCTGTGATCATGAGTTAGAGTTATTGAAAAGCTACTCTGTGCCAACGACTCTGGTCAGTAGAGGTGATGAAGAGAAAAATATAGATTTCACATTTAAGGATGTTCTGGTAGGGAAAACAAATAAGAAGAACCATCTGAAACAAAACCCAAAACCAAAAACAGAGCCTGAGAAGTGAAGACACGTTTAGGTAAGTGCAGAAAGTCTGATACAGAGTAAAAGCCACTGCGTGATGTTTAAAAGATAACTGTGAAGTGTATCCAGAGAGGCTTTGAATGTAAAGACTCTTGAAGCCAGTGTGAAGCTGTTGAAGGGTTTGAAGAAGAATCCCCTTCTTTTAAAACTCACACTCTTTCTTGTAAGTGTCCTGGCTGTCATGGATCTGTAGCATCCTACCAGTGAATGTCACTCCCGTGGCGGTGTGAGGGGATCAGGGATGGAGAGGAAAGGAGCGCTTGAGTCTGAGTATCTAGGTGCCACACTTCATCCTTCCCAGGGTAGGATGCACCAGAATCAATGCCTGGAGCCTTCTGTCTCACACGCAAACCTCTGTCTCTCATCCAGTGTCTTCAGAGACTTACAGACTCCCCAAGGACATTGGGCATGTGCTGCATGGGAGATTAGCTATCTGGCAGAGGCAGGCTTCTTAGGAATAGGCACCTGGCAAATTTTGTAATACATCAAATGTTTCCAAAACCACATAGCTATCAATATGGGTATTTTCCCTAAACACATTGCTAGACAGACTGTAAACTTGGTGTCAGCAAAACCAACACTGGAATGGAAAATAAATGCGCTTGAGATTTAACAACTTGTGTTGCTGTAACATTTGTAATAATGTCAATGCCAGTGCTAATGATGCTATGAAGACTTGGAACCAAGGGATTTTCAAGGTTTATTAATTCAACTAGTTGGACTCCCTTTTCCTATGTATCTTACCTCACCTATTCCCTTATTAACCTCTGATAATGCAGAAGTGATGCCTTTTATCACACCCCATTTCACCAGACGCACTATACTTAATTTTCCATCATTAGGTTTAATGAAAACCCAATTTCACAACTCACTTCTCTCAGGAACCTACAAGTAATGCTACATTTTTATCAGGTCCAATTAAAAAACGTTATGATGTTCCTATTCGAGAGGGAGCCTTAAAACTAATGTGCAATTCTGCTTGTAATTCAACAAGGGTGCTGGAATTCACATGCTGCTCATAAAATGTAACTCAAACCAGCTGGCCCAGAGAGGGGACATTTTTCATTGTATTTTCCTCTTCATCATGATTTCCCTCAATCATCATGATTTCCATTTTTTATTTATCACATAATAATATTTTGGATTTCTTTTGCACTTTTTATAACTGTTGTGTAAGCCTCTAAATTACCATGTAGTGATTCTTGTCACAGCTGTGGGAAATTTGTGGGGTGGCCCAAGGGATGCTTGTGACACATATGAGATTTTAGGTCACTATTGTTTCTTTGATTTCTCCTTTTCTCTCTGGTAGCTCCTTTTCCTTGTTTGAGGTCTTGGCTTCTCTCTCTCTCTCTCTCTCTCTCACCTTACCTTGCTACCAGGCATATAGATTTTTCTTTAGCTTCAGCCATGTATTTCCATTCAATTGCTAAGAATCACCACCCTAGCTCATTAACAAATGCTTACTGAGACTTATATTGAACAATGCACCATTTTAGATACTGCATACAAACAGAAAGCTGGGTGGGGGAAGGTGTGTTCCAGAGAGATAAGCATGCTGTGGGCCTTGAAAAAGGATAGAAAAAAGATAGGTGACACACAAACAAGTCTAATAAAGGAAGGAAGGGAAGGTAACTAGGAGAGGGGAGGATGACGTGTGCAGAATTAGGCACCATGGAAATCTTTCCCACCTTCAGGCATTCCCAACCTACCTCTATGGCTCTTGCCAAAACTGTTGTATCTACACGAAAGCTGCCCGATAGAACTTTTGACAACAGCGGGAATGTTCTGCCCTGCAATATGTTAGCCACTAACCATACCTGGCTACTGAGTACTGAAAGAAGGATGAGTTGTAACTTTTGTTTAATTTTAATTAATTTCCATTGAAATAGCCACACTGGACCTGGCAAACATAGCTAGAGAAAAGAGATAGAAGAAGGGATAGAGCTCTGAAACTACACAGTGAGGTAGAAACCACAGCAGCACTGAAATATGATGTCAACTATGTATGTGATTTAAAATGTTCTTATAGCAATGTTAAACATGAAAGAACATGCAATATTAAATTGAAGAATTTAACACTGTATTTAATCCAATATATCCAAAATAGTATCTTAAAATATATTCAGTATAAAAATTACTAATGCGGTACTTTTCATTCTTTAGTCAAATAATAATTTATACTTACGGTATATTTTTAGTTCAGATTCCTCATATTTTCAGAGCTCAGCTGACACTGGTGACTAATGACAACTGTATTAGACAACACAGGTACACATGAAGTTATCTAGAGCCAGATAATGTTCTAAAGAGAGCTAATTTCGAGCTCAGATGAACTCTAAATAAAAAGTTGTTGCTGTAGAGTAAGTTAGTACTAGCCCAGAATTATCCAACAAAATTTCATGCGTGACAAATATATTTCACTG